TATATATATATATATATAGTTACAAGTATTAAATTTATATCAACTTTAAATGAGTACAAAAGGTCACATGACTCGGTCCCAGTGTGGAGAGAGTTAATATATACAAAATAAAAAACAAACCAGCCCTTTTTTTAGCTCATTTCCAAAAATGAAAAAAAACAAACTTGACACAGGATGGGTTAAAAACTAGTCTTTTTCCCCTCACAGTAAAAGGCGGTATGTATACAAGAGAGCCTCATTAGCCCTAATCACTTAAAATAGTCGAGTTTTATTATCCTAAATACACAGAAGTCTGAAAGAATATTAAAGAAATTTAAACTTCAACATCCTAGGGGTGCATGTGATATTTAAGGTTCAAAACTTACCAGTTGGATCTGAGGAATCAGTTATGACAACATCAAATTCTTTCTGATGGTTTTTCATAAATTCAGCTCCATCCATTATATGTTGAACCAGTTTGGAACTTTTAAAACCTTCAGCCATAAACGGAAGGTACTCCTTTGAAACTTCAATCACTTTCTGTGGTAATGAATTTAAGTAGTTTTTTCAAGCTACATATTTTACTTTAGGTCTTTATAACCTCAAAGAATCTGGTACTAACAAAACTGTCTAATACAGAAAATTTTGAAAAATGTTTACTTTTTAAAACACAACCTTTACTTTGTATTTTCTAATCATACAGCTTTTAAACTTGTAAAGTGCAAACACATCGCTTGTCAGAGGCTTTGAATGCAGCTTGCAGTTTTTGTAACCCTATAACTCATGATTTTACTTATATTTGATGTAGAAATTACTGAAAAAATTGCCATTTACATGCAAATTCATTTTCAATTAACAATAAATCATTTGCAATAAATGTTACACTTCTGATTTAACTAATGCAAAACCCTAAAAGTTTGAATCCTGAATAGTTTTTCAACCAAAAATCAATCACCTATTTCCTTAAACTAAGGTCCTAAAATTCCAGATTTAAAAACTCAAGTTTACTAAGACAATTAATTTAAACAGTTTCATATTCCCATGCCTAATTAATTTTTTAAAAGCTATAGATGAAAATAAGTTATATAATTTACTACCGTATTTTTCAGAATAAAAAACACACCCTTATTTTGAAGTCAAAGTTTTGGCGAAAAAAAAGCTACAGTCGCATTTGAAAGATGTTTATTGAACAAAAAATCCAATTTGAAACTTTCAAAATTAGTATATATTGTTCTAAGCACAATAGAGCTCAAAACATCAAAATACCATAAATCAAAAAAAGGTTTACTGTTATTTAGTTTTGGTTCAAAACCTACAAATTCTTCATTGCTTTCGCTGTAATTTATTTTTTATTATTTAGGGAGCATTATAAATAGTTATGTTTTTACAAGAAAAAACAACAACTACTATTGTTATAAATAACACATTCAATTGAACTAAACTATGCATGCCTATTTAAATATATTTACACATAGCTTGTGTATATTGTATATATATACATATATATTATTCATACCTTCAGTGTATAGGATGCAAGCAGATTTTGACATCAAATTTTGGGGTAAAAACGTGCGTCTTATACACCAAAAATATGGTACTTAAAATTGACTCAAGCCTTTTTTCTTTAACAAAGCTCTTTTTTCAAACACAACTGTAAAGTCTTGAACAGAAAAGCTGATGCTGGTAAAAAATGTTTACACTTTCAATAACTAACACATTAATGTTCCAGGAAAAGATCCAATTAAATTTATATTTTTAACAAAGCTTTTATTTTTTACTATGTTAAAAAATATACATTCAACAATCATTTGAGTGTTTATCACAAATATTTGAATGAAAAACAAGGAAATAATAACAGAAATATATAATTTCTACCTCATCAATTTCACACTGCACAACAGTTTCAACACTAGGATGTTTTACAACTTCTCTTACCACACCTCCATCTCCTCCTCCAATCACAAGAACCTGTAAAACAAAGAATAATACCTCAAACATACCTCATACAAACTTATCATTATATACAAAATATTTATCAATCACATATTATACTGGTAATAATATTTTGAAAAGTTCTCTTTAATTTTGGGTACAAAATAGCTTAAATCATGAAACCTCTAAACTTTTATAACAAAAACTGTATTCAATAAATTCATATTAATTATGAAACTCTGATTCTTATCTGATACTTTGCTAAATCAGTAATATTTAGCAGCAGATGTTTTTACATTGTTTTTAATAACACTAATATTTTATAACTTAACATACATGTACACTAACATACGAAATTTGAAACGAAAAAAAAATTTGAATGCTAGATGAGACTTTTCTTTAGAAAAATAATTCAGTATGAACATGTTACAGTTTTGGAGCAGCATACAAAAAATGGTTTATTATGTGATTCAAAAGAGGACAAACTCTACTGGGTTCAAGTTTTGTGAACACTTCAGAAATATGTATAAAATAATTTTTTTCGGATTGAGTTGGATGTCTGTAAAATTAAATATATGATGAGTTTAAAAGTTGAATATGAATTATTGTTATCATTTGGGTAGTTATAATCTAAAAAAAATGGAATATAGGAAAGAACTTGATTACTAACCTTTTTAGGATTAGGATGCGAGTTAAGAGGTAAGAAAGTGATCATTTCTTGATATGCACTTTCATCTTTTTCGGTACACTGTATAGCATTATCAAGAACCAAAACTTTTCCAAACAGCTTACTGAGGACAAAAAAAATAACAAAGATCAGAGAAACCAACAAAAATGCAACACACAATGAGAATTTATTTAACAATACATTTGGTGGTAGAATACAATCTCATATATAGAGTACTGATCAAAAGTCTGCATCATTCCATGAAAACTTTAAATATTATTAACTCTTTCAGCATGGGCTCAGCCCCTTGAACCAACCTCATAACCATTTTGTGCTTGTTATAGTTTTCACTCTATAACTTTTAAATTAGTAAGCAAATGTTAACGAAATTTGGCAAATTAACAGGAAACATTACAATGCTTTAATAAGCAAAATATACTTTTTTCATTAAGTCTTAAGGTTTGTAAAGCAATGTTTTTCTCATGTTTTTTTTTTTTCTTTTTGCATGTTGCCTATCTAACATGCAAAGTAATGTTCATTTTATGATTAAAAATACTTTTATATATCAGAAAATTTCACATGTGCAATCTTTATAATGTCCAGATAATTATCAAACATTTCTTAAGAAAAAACTTTATACTTTATCTGTTATTTTCACTGATGAATCTCTGTACGGATTCAGTAGATTTGACCGATCTCGTAACCACCATAAAAAATTAGTAAAATATAAATTATGCCTCTTTCATTCTAGAATGAACACAAATTATAACATGAAAACATAAATGTTTAGACTAAATAGTTTAAATCTTATAACATTATACATTTATATTATATTTATTATACTGATCTTTCAGCCATACCTGGCTAACAATACAGAAGTTACAATGGCACGGCTCACG